CAGCCCACAGAGATGGGATATAAGGAAAAAAAGGAAAGAAATAAACAATGCCCAATGGGGGAAAAAGCTCTAAGACTATCAATAGAATGTAGGTTACGTAAAAAGAATGGGGCATGGGAGTGACGGGTTCTACAAACTTTGGTGGATAGTTCTAATGACTTTTGGTGGTAAGTATAATATAGCACTATCTCACCCATATATACGTACATATATATATATATGTGTGCATATATATGCATATACACACAGACATATATGTATATTCTTTAAAACTAATATTGTTTAAATAAATTAAAACTCATTTTTAAAGGGACTAGACAAATAGCATAGGGATTAAGTTACATGCCTTACATGCACCACAATTTTCAACAATCTTCCCTGATGCAGTATTGTTAGCCCAGCGATGCCAGAATAGTGCTGCCCCACATGCCCTGTGCAGCACTGTATCCTTGGGCCTTCATTTTGAGCCAATGACCCAGTTGACCAGAAATCATTGGGAGGATTCCCAGGCCCTCTCCTAAGCTTGAACTATTATGTATACATATAATTAATTTTTTAAAGTTAAAATATTTTTAATTTAAAAACAAGCCTTTTTTGATCCTTGGTATCTCTTTCCTTCACCCTCCATACTGTTCTTAAAAAAGCTTTTGTGTTTATTTTCAATATCTATCCAGAATTGGAAGGAAAACTACTGACTAACCCATACGTAACATACTTGTTCAAATAACCATAACACTTTGCATGAATTTCTGCCATTGTCTCATACTTGGTTTTAATGTCTGTCTTTTCACACTGTATCGAGGTATTGCAATGTCAGATGACACATTTTGAACTAGATAACTCTTTGTTATGAGACGCTATATAATATGTATTATAGGATGTGTAGTACTCCCTGTGGCATCTACCCACTAAATGTCAGAAGTGTGTACAATATCCACCTACTTCCGAAATTTTAACAAACAAAAACATCTTTAGATAAGATGAAGTGCCCTTGAAGGACAAAAATCACATGAGAACTATTACCCAGAGTAGTAGACATTTTTAACCTAGCTGCAAAAATAATTCAGTCACAAGAAAACACAGATTATTTTATTTGAAATTGACCAATAAATTTCCATTCACTCAGAGAAAGAAAAAGAAGCTAAACTCATCACCACTGAGGCCGAAGCTATAGCACAGTGGGTAGGGTGTTTGCCTTGTATGCGGCCAACCCGGGTTCGATCCCCAGCATCCCATATGGTCCCTTGAGCACCGCCAGGAGTAATTCCTGAGCGCAGAGCCAGGAGTAACCCCTGAGCATTGCTGGGTGTGACCCAAAAAGCAAAAAAATTGAAAAATAAATTAAAAAATAAACTCATCATCACAGCCTGATATGACTCATTATTCACCCATTGATTCTTGAGATCATCTTTTAATTCTTACCACTCTACTTACTTTATTCCAGGCATACCTGTTCCTTTGTTGTAATTCATATACACCAAGAAAAATTCTTTTTTTTTCTTATTGGGTCACACCCAGAGATGCACAAGGGTTACTACCTGGCTCATGCACTCAGGAATTACTCCTGGTGGTGCTTGGGTGCCATATGGGATTCTGGGAATTGAACCCAGGTAGGCCATGTGCAAGAAAAACTCCCTACCTGCTGTGCTCACTACAGCTCCTACACCATGAAAAAGTCTTTCTCAAAGTTGGACACTCAGTTCCTTCTCCCTAGAGTCCTTGTCCCATGAAATTCACTGGCTTATCCCTTCATTACCTATGCTCTTTGCTCAAAAGTCAGTCTACTAGTAAAGACTTCTGTAACCACCACTAAAATATGTATGGTGATATCATTGTCTTATCTGCCATTCACATTTTCATATAATTTGTACTAGCCTCATTTTATAATGGCACTTTTATCTGATATGTTGTATTACCAAACACTTTAATGAGACTCTAGTCAGTAAAATTTAAGGTTCAGGAAGGAAGGAATTGCTGTCTTATTTACTGACAGGAAAGTACTCAGTAAAGCACTCAATAAGCACAGATAAAATAAAGGTGGAGGAGAGCATGTCGCAAAGAACGTAGTGGGGAGAGTGAAGAATGGTGTTAGAAACCGTCTTATCCCTGAAGCTAAAGTATACATAGCTAATATCAACATGTATCATTGGTAAAAACTAAGTTGATTTCCATAGTGTTTATCTAAAATGTAATTGTGTGTATTACCCAGAGTAATTTTTCAAAATTATTTCGTTTGGTTTTTATGAACATAGTACTGAGAATCATAATTATGAATCAATTAATACACAGATCTAACTATAGATATATAAAGCAGTGAACTTTAAGGGAAATTCTACAAAGTTCCATGAACTGTGGTAACTACCTCATTTTATCCAAAGTGGGCTAAGTGGGCTAAGTCAAATCACTAATACATGCCATACATATCATAAGGTAGCATAGCAAGTAACAGCACCCATGAACAAAGTTCTTTTCTACAGATGAAAGGCTGCATGGTTTAATTGTGAGTGAAATAGGGGAACAGAAATGCCTCCTGCTGGAAGCTGACAGTTACATGGAACCCCCTGAAGTTAAAAATTGAGTTTCTCTACTAATTACTGGTCCAAAGGGGACAAAGATCCACATTTTACTTCTCTTGCTGAACTTGCAACATAAGCACTTGTGCATTTTACATTAGGGTCAAGCTGGGAAATTCCCAGGCAGTTTTACCTGAAATAGAGAACAGGGTCACCTACCATGCAAATTAGGTCAGATATTCCTTCCTACCGTGGGTGCCTACTAGGGATATTTCAGTGTAACCAATTCTAACAAATAAATTGATATAGAGGGGGAGAAAAAGAAAAACAAACCAAAATAAAACAGGTGCTATTTGAAATAAAAATTTTGTTCAGATATTGTGTTTGAAATTAATTTTTAATTAATATTATTAATTCTAAGAACAAATATTCCATAAAGATCCCCAAATTTTGAAAAACTATTCATTAAAAGTATGCTGCATCCATTTATAAGACTACTAACAATTCTAACTACTTTTTTTTTAAATTTTTATTAGTGAAACACCATGAGGTACAGTTTTAGACTTACAGATTTTTGTGCTTGAGTTTCAATTATACAATAATCAAGTACCCATCCCTCCACCAGTGCCAATTTTCCACCACCACTGATCCCAGTATCCCTCCCACCCCCCAGCCCCCCCCACCCCACCCTGCCTCTGTGGCAGGGCATTCTCTTTTGTTCTTTCTCTCCTTTTGGTGCTGTGGTTTGCAAAAGAGGCACTGAGTGGCAATCATGTTCAGTCTATAGTCTACTTTCAGCATGCTTCTCCCATTCTGGGAGGATCCTCCCAACACCCTTTATTTGGTTCTCCCTTCTCTATCTGAGCTACCTTTTCCCCTAGCATGTGTGGCTGGCCTCCAAGCCATGGAGTAAACCTTCTGGTAATTATCTTGGCTATTCTTGGGTGTTAGTCTCCTATTTTGTTACTTTACGTTCCCCAGAAAAATGCAATCTTTCTATGTCTGTCCCTCTCTTTCTGACTCATTTTGCTTAGCATGATACTTTCAATGTAGTACCACTTGTATGAAAATTTCATGACTTCATCTTTTCCAACAGCTACATAGTAGTACTCCATTGTATAGATGTACCAAAGTTTCTTTAACCAGTCATCTGTTCTCGGACACTCAGGTTTTTTCCAGATTCTGGCTATTGTAAACTGCTGCAATGAACAAACAAATGCAGATGTCACTTAACTATACTTTTTTGCCTCTCTGGGATATATTCCCAGGAGTGGTATTGCTAGGAGCTTAATTTCTAATTTTTGGAGAATCGTCCATACTGTTTTCCAAAAGGGCTGAACCAGTCGGCATTCCCACCAGCAGTGAAAGAGGGTCCCTTTCTTGCTACATCCACGCCAGCACCAATTGCTTTTGTTCTTTTGGATGTGGGTCAGTCTCTGTGTCTACCTACTTCTTGAACAGCTCAATGTAAGACCAATAAAGCTAAACAGCAGGCAGATACCTTCACGAAATAGGTCCAATACTCCAGGAGAAGAAACAGTAGTTCAAATGGTTCAAATGGTAACACATTGCATCAATTCTTTCCAAGAATCAAAATTTTTATATGGATTCTGATTTCTTTAAAATGCTGTAGGAAAGGGGGACTTAGAATAGGAGTACACAGAACTGTGATACAATATTTCAAAGCAGATGTTTTGAGAAAAAGAGTAACTTAGGCATTTCTAATGACTCCTGGAAAAACCATAGTTAACTTCCTTGCAAAGAAGTAGCTGCATTAAAGTTAGGATAGAAATTTTCATTCATTTATTCATTCAGAAACAATTACTAGACGGATCTTCTTTGTAAAAGGGAGACATATAAGCTTGTTCGTGATGAACATCTCTACAGCACCCATCTCTCATTTTATTACTATCTTATACCCAAACTATGAATGAATGAGTGAATGAATAAAAATTATCTAAAGGATATGTAATGCATTAAAGCCTGATATCTGATAATTAAGCTGTAAAAAATCAGGAATGATTTCCTATTCAATATAAAACATTCAATAGTTCTGGGAGTCATCAAGATTTAGCTTGAAACTCCAACTACTTCTCTTAATGGCAATCAGAATGAATGAAATCCTCCCCTTATTTGCAAAATGTTCTAACAATACTCATTTACATAACTGTCATGAGGATTAAGTGAAAGGTGGCAAGCATCCCTCGAAAATACTGTATGCAACTGATTTTAGCTGTTTGGATTTCTTTTAGAATATAAAATTTACATAATGCCTTTCTTAATTCCTATGAGCACCTTTTGCAAGACTTCAGAAACTCTACATCTTATTTCATTTTTTTATTCTTGAGAAGAAAATATTTTTATGCTCATGTTCTCTAAAAATACAAGCCCTGGAAATTTGTATGCTTCGAGATGCCACATATAAAAGCATAAGGAAGAAAGACCATCTTCAAGGAATCCTTCGAATAAAATAACCAATATTCTTACCTAGTTTTGGCAAGGAATAGGGCACTTGAAAGTAGTCTTCATAAAATTCTATTAATCTCTTTGTGATATGAAGAGCATAGTCCCCAGATCCTCTTCTGATAGCATCAGGTCTGGCATATAATCGTACCTAATTAAAAATATACACAAAAATTGTTTTAACCTTTTGATATTCAAATTTTATCTTTCCTGCATAAATGAATCTACACAAATCAGTTGGAATGCTGCAAAAATTAAACAGCAGTTTTGTTTATGTATCAGAGCATACTGTGATTGAAAAAAAAACAATTAAAGTAACCAAGTTGAGCAAGTGACAATTTCCTCGCTTTTAGATGACATAGAGAAGATTTATACACCTTGCATCAAAATAAATATTCCGAGTTATCACTTACATGTGCTTGCTAGAGATATGAAGGTACGGTGGATTAGTATAATGGTTTTCTGACGATGCTGAAAGTAGGCAGGATATGGTGGCTTGGCAGGAGAGAAAATTCATGGTTTGTTAACCACATATTGCATCAAGCTCTGGAATTATTACCAAGTTCAACAAAAGTGTAATTTATGATTCCTTTCCTTCTTTGGAACCAACTGCCCTTATTCCCAATATGCAAAATAGGACTAGAAAACTTCTCATGTATCTAAGTGAGTGCTATTCTAAAGAGCTGTCTGCAACTGCTCCTGATTTCAAAACCAGCAAAGTAATTCATATTTCTAACTCAATTCAGACACTTAATATTGATTTTAAATCAAGCGCTCTATATTATCTAGTCTTTGACCAAACAAAAAGCCTGTGGCAACTAACGTCAAACTGAACAACACTAACAATTGTATAGAAAAGGTTAAATGAGATTAGTTTTCATAATGCTTTCATAAAGCTATCCAGCATCTTTCTTTCCAAAGGCTAAATCTACTTCTCACAGCTGTGGTCCCCAATCCTCATATCAATTCTGTGAATAAGCAGTGGAGCAGTGGAGAGCCTGGAGACCTAGAAGTTGGGTATTAGTCCTGTTTTGCTATTATCCAGGCAGGGTAATATTAAATTACAAACTTCTTTGAGCCTCAAATTTTCTCATTTTGGCCACAGGTAGTTGCTAAAGTGCTTTCCAATTCTAAAACACATTATTTTAAATCCCATTTTACAGATAAAGAAGTTTGCATTCTTTTTAAATTACTAAAAGATAAATTATTTATGCAGTCTGTGGAAATCGATATCAGTATTTAGCACATAGACAAAAGAAAGCTGTAATAAATAATATAAAAAATGAATATACAATTAACTCTGTATTATCCTTGCTTAAAAAGAGAGAATAGAGATTTTTTTTTAAATCAGTGTAGGAAATCAAGAAAAAGGCATGCGGGTTTTATGTTAGAGAGTCTGTAACTGACAAACATTTTCTAAATTCAATAGCAATTATTTTTTAAAAATGGGAAAAATTAGTGAAATTGGTACTTTCCATTCAATAACCAAACAGAATATAAAATAAAATAATGGTTTTGGCTGACCAGTGTACAAAACCAAAAATATTAGGAGAGTTCATAGGGCACAGTAGAATTTAATACTATTAGAGAGACAGTGACAATTAACCCATGTATACTGCTTATATACAATATGTTAGGCAAAGATGCACTCCCTAAGAGTGAATGCACAGCTGATTTTCTCCAAAAAAAAAAAAATAGGAATGGAAGCAAAGAAACAAGAAAAAAAATAAAGGAGGAGGATAACCGAAGCAGGTATACAACTTCAGGTACAGTTCTGGCCCCAGCTTGAGCCCATAGGGACCTCTGTAGTTTAACTGTCACAGATGAATTTGTGCTGCATTGAGGCAAGAGGACTAAACTCCCATACTTAACAAAACTGTTTTTTTTTTCTGGTTTTCATCATGGGGGAAAACATTTAATCCCAGTATTTTCTTATTCTTTTATCACCTGCTGATACATCTCCATTAGTACAAGGCCTTTGGAGATGAGTTCATGAAAGAGTTTGCTAGAAGCAAAGTGATGGAAGTTGCTCATAGGAAACCAAGCAGGAGAGGAAATCTGGTTTGTGTACCAACACCCAGCCATAGAACTTACCCATTCAAGGGGACTTGTGCAAGGCAAGTACCCTTTCCATTGTACTATGTCTCCAACCCCTGCCAAAGAGATTTTCTCACCAAAGGTGGGTGCAAAGTACAACTGGGAGGAAACAAAGGCAATAAAGATATAATCCCCATTCCCAAATGAGCTTTTCATTTATTTAGTTAGAAAATAATAACAGATAATAGCACATGCTGTATGAATGGTGAACCATTAGTGGCAAAGAACTAAGAGAGGATAAATAATTCTCAGTTAGTTCAAGATAAATTAAATAGAAAACTCATGTTAAAATAATAGTGAGGACCACTGAAGAACAATACAGTAGGACTGCTGATATTACTCTTAGGAAGTATCATTGATTTAGGTAGAAGCATGAGGATTCCTATCAATCAGTTCTATCAGTTATAAGAAAAAGATGATTAAATCAATCTGATTGTCCAGATTTAATAGGAATGATTTGGGTAAGACAAAACAAGAATGCTGTATGCAGGGTCTGGATAAGTATGTTCAAAAATTTATCACATGCCTATTTGTGTCAGGCACTGTTTTACAGAATAGAAAGAGGACAACAAAAATTCTTACCACATGATGAATAAAATATCTATACTTACTGATTTTCAAAGGTTCTCATAATATAGAAGACTAATAAATCAACAAAATTTTAGTGTGAGACACATTAACAAGGCAATCTACATTCCATCCTATCATGAATGTTGAAAGGATTGAGCTCCTATTCAAGCCCAGATCCTGTACACAGCACCCCTTCTTGACTTTTCAAAAATATCACCCGCCTTAAAAAATTTTCCTTTCTTTCTCCCTTCTCATTTATGCTTCTATACTGTATTACTTTCATCTTGCTTATGTTTTAAATATACATAAATATATATATGTTTAAAAATTTTCCTAGACTGAAGAGTTGTTCAATTCAGAGAAATTGTTTATACTATGTGAAACCCTGAGTTCACTTTCCAGTAACACACAACTTTCCAGCACTACTCTTTGTGTCCTCTATAAAAAGTTTTATAAATTAAAAAATTATATATTATATATATTTAACCCATATTTCATCCAGATATGATTTTTAATAATGCTCCTTGGATGAATTTCCTGATTACTTAGGAACTGTCATATAAGCAAAAATCCAAGTAAGTGTAGGTTTGAGAATGAAAATTTACTGATCTCTGAGACAGTATGCATAACTAGGGATACTGCTTATTTATATTGCCCTTTCCTAGCTTTTCCTGAATTCACTGCAACAAACATTCATGACTCTAGCAAAAGTGCCCTTATCAATAATCTCAGGATGCCATATCCAATAGCCAGTTTTAATCCTCCACGTACTTTGCCTAACTTTCTGCAGCACTTAGCAGAGTTTGTTGGTCATTTCCCTTCTTTTAAATGCTTTCTGTACTTGATTCTCAACTGGAGAGATAGTTCAAGTAGCAGAGCACATTTACCACGTGTAGATCTTGGGTTAAATGGTTATCCATGACAAGTCCACCCTCCTGCTCAAACAACTGAATGTCATCTCTTAAAATAATAAGAATAATTTCCTCAGTTGCATTTAGCCTCTATCTTTTTTTTTTCTTTTTTTTTTTTCTTTTTTATTAGTGAAACAACATGAGATACAGTTGTAGATTTACAAATTTTGTGCATGGATCTCGGTCATACCACGATCAAATACCCATCCCTCCACCAGTGCCCATTTTCCACCACCAGGATAATATCCCTCCCCCCCATCCTCCCATCCCCCCATCCCCCCCTGCCACTGTGGCAGGGCATTCCCCCCTGTTCTCTCTCTCCTCCTGGGCGCTGTGATCAGCCAAAGAGGCATTGAGTGGCGAACATGTTCAGTCCACTCTACTTTCAACCTGCATCTCCCCTCCTGGGAGGATCCTCCAAACACCCTCCACTTGGCGTTCCCCTCTCCATCTGAATTGTCCTTTCCCCTAGAATACCCAGCTGGCCTCTAATTTATGGAGTAATTCTCCTGGTGTTGTGGGTATTAATCTCATATTTTATTATTTTATATCCCCCAGATGAATGCTATCTTTCTATGTCTATCCCTCTCTTTCTGACTCATTTCGCTTAGCATGATACTTTCCATATTGTACCACTTGTATGTAAAGTTGGTGATTTCATCTCTTCTAAGAGCCACATAGTACTCCATTGTGTAGATGTACCAAAGTTTCTTTAACCAGTCATCTGTTCTTGGGCACTCAGGTCTCTTCCAGTTTCTGGCTACTGTAAAGAGTGCTGCAATGAACAAACAAGTGCAGATGTCCCTTCGGCTACACGTTTTTGCCTCTCTGGGATATATTCCCAGGAGTGGTATCGCTGGGTCAAATGGGAGCTCAATTTCTAATTTTTTGAGGAACGTCCATACTGTTTTCCAGAAGGGCTGAACCAGTGGACATTCCCACCAACAGTGAAGGAGTGTCCCTTTCTCGCCACATCCGCACCAGCAAAGGTTGCTTTTGTTCTTTTGAATGTGGGCCAGTCTCTGAGGTGTGAGATGATATCTCATTGTGGTTTTGATCTGCATCTCCCTGATGATTAATGATGTAGAGCATTTTCTCATGTGCTTTTTTGCCATTCGGATTTCTTCTTTGAGAAAGTTTCTGTTCATTTCATTGCCCCATTTTTTGATGGGGTTGGATGTTTTCTTCTTGTGGAGTTCTACCAGTATTTTGTATATCCTTGATATCAACCCCTTGTCAGATGTGTATTCGGCGAATATTCTTTCCCATTCTGTAGGCTGTCTTTGTATTTTGGTCACTGTTTCTTTGGAGGTACAGAAGCTTCTTAGTTTAAGATAGTCCCATTTATCTATCTCTGTTTTCACTTGCTCAGCCAGTGGCGTGTCATCTTTGAACATACCATTAGCCTCAATGTCATGGAGGGTTTTGCCAACTTTGTCTTCAATGTATCTTATGGTTTCTGGTCTGATGTTGAGGTCTTTAATCCATTTTGATCTTACCTTTGTACATGGTGTTAGGCAGAATTCTGAGCCCATTTTTTTGCATGTAGCCGTCCAGTGATGCCAGCACAATT